TTCCAGTTCTGTACTCAAAAGTCACCTTCCATAGACTCAACCTCCCATGGGTTCAAAACCTTGTTTATCCTCTTTTGGAGAAGTCCTCTCAGGGGACCTCACTAGTTTTACAGCACAAAACATCACTGCATCTCTGATTAATGACACCTGAGCTGCCTACTGGAAAGACACAAAAACTCTGCTGAAATGTCTGGCAGAAATTTGTTATGAGAAAAAAACTCCACAAATTTCTTGGAGCTGCTGGCTTTTATAAATCTGGATCCTTGATTTCACAAAATCAATAATGCTTACTCATACTATCAGCCCCTGGGAGTGCCCAGTGGCCTACCTGTGCAAAAGCTTGGATCCAATTGCTAAAGGCTGAATCCCCTCTCTGTGTCTGTCACTGAGAAACAGTCACAGAAAACAGTCACTGTTTTTCTTGTCAAGAAAGCTTACAAGCTCATCTTGTGCCACAACCTAACTGTCCAGGTGCCACATACTGTCCTGGAACTACCTTGGTGGCTCTAGCAGCCTGGTCACTCAGTACCAAGGACTCTAATGCAAAGATTTCTGGTACTAAATGAACTATCTTGAGCAAACCAGACTCAAAAAATGGACACCCTAACAGATGCTGAATACACCCTGTTTATGGGTGGAAGGAACTCTGTTAGGAATGGAGCTGGACAGGCAAGATATGCTGTAGTCACCGAGCACAAAACTCTTTTGTCCAAAACTCTCTGTATGGATGATCTACACAGTAAACTGCTTTCTGTTGCTGTTTCGAAATCTGTCAACAACGATTAAAATTTGTGCTCAAATAATCTGGTTCAGAGGCCTAAGGCCACCATGGGGACCTGACTGACTAAAACATCAACCCCAGGCAGAAAAACGTTACCCAGTACTCCAAAAGGATCTGTCTTTATCAGAGCCAAATCTGCACCCACTATATGTTCTGCGAGCTCAAGCCAGAACACGGGCACCAGTATACCTGCAGCCAGCTCAGACTTTAGAATCTATGCCACTGGCCCTGTGTCACCTGCCCCATCAAGCAAGACTTAGTGCTCATTCACAACTATCAGACTGGCCAAGGCTAAGGAAGTTTGAAGGATCCTGCTGTGAAAAATCTTTCCTAGATATGGCCTACCCTTGATGACTGGCAGTGATAATGGATCTGCATTTGTAGCAAAGATAATTCAAGATTAGATTAAATAAAACCTATACATAGCATACATGTCATAAAGATCTAGAAAAATCTTTCTTAAAAACCTTGTAATCACCACCATAAAAATTTAACTAAAAGGCCAGCTATACCTGTAGACACTTCTGCACACACCGTGTTAATAGCTCTTAAAGTTTCTGAAATCCAGCCTTAGGTCCACCATTCCAGTGTCCTGCTGAATTTCTGGTAAATTTACCTGGACCAGACAGCTCCTTTGAAATGTACTAAAGAGACAATGCAGTCAGAGCTCTGATGTGGTCACTCTGGATGCTGACCAGTCCACACCAGGCTGAAGCCTGAGGACACCATTCACAGAACTGCTATATACCTGTTCCCCTGGGTTTTTGTGACTTTCCAGGTTGTTATCTCAGTCCTTGCTTTCATACCCAACTGCTAGCTGTGATTTCTGCCTTAACTCTATGAAAAATTGCCATAAGAAGAAAGAAATTACCATTAGTGAAATATTTGCCCAGGAGTTGGTGATCATCCAAGGTATATTGGATACTCTCCTAGGCCAGATGAACTCTGTCATCCCTTGCCAGAGTAATATTGCATAGTAAGTGGGTTTACAAACTGCTGGAGGAAAATCTCTTGCAGGGACACTTCTGTATAATGGTGAATAATCAAGACAGGGCATTTAACATTTTCATCTCCTTAAACAGCTTTAATATTTTGGTATTACTTGACACGTACTTGGTTTATTTTTCCATTTCCTTTTAAGCATGTCTTTTCTTGCATTGATGAAGTTCTTTTGTTTTCTTTAAAGCTTCAGAAATGTAAAAATATATTTCTGCCATTATAAGTAATATTATGACACATACACACATGATGGATAGCTTTTCTTTTCTTTTCTTTCTTGTTATGGTACTGAGAATTGAATTTAGAACCTTACAATTGCCAGGTATGTGCTGTGCCACTGAGCTATATCCCTGGCCTTCAGTGTTTTTTCAATGTTTAATATTACTCATTTTTCCTTCCCCCAGGATAATTTTACTTTCTTCCAGTGTGGTCCAATTCTTTTTCTTTGTGTGGTTTCCTCCATTTGGTTGGAGAAAACTGTAGCAGTATTATATTTTAGGACAGCAAGTTCAACAATAATTTGTGAAATTAGCTGAAAAACTACCACTATAGTGTACCAGTGAGGAGTGATAAACACAGAAGCCATCCCCATAATAATCAGAACATGAACTGATTTGCTTAGTCCTCAGAGCCTTGGCCCTGGGTCCCACTAACCCCTGCTGGCCATGTGGATCATGACTTTTCTTTCTCCTTGTCTCTCTTCCTAGAGAAGCAGGGGGCCATGGAAGAATTTTTCTCCATGTAAGATCCTGAAGGTAAGTTCAACTGAAAAAGAAGGGACTTTTCTTAGTTTAGGAGAGTAAATCATTGTGCTTCCTTGATTTCAAACATGTAAACTCGGTCCAGCTGTGCACAAAATAGATATAGCATCTACCCTTTCCAATTTATTATTGATGGTTCAGTAGAGTGCACAAATATTGACCTTGATTTTTGGATCTGACTGTTTGCCTAATCTTTAATCTAAGACCTAGTTTGTCTTTTTCTGTATATAAAGGATTTATTTGAGAATGGGTGAAAGTATTACAATTGCGGATGTGCACTATGGCAAGCACTCAAGGGAGGGAAGGGATCATTAGCAAAAGGGATCTGCCTGGCTAAGCACTGTGGTCTCAGAGCCTGGAAGCCGAGTTGTCTGCAGCTCACTGGTGGAGGGCGGGTGCTGGGAGAGCACCTTGCGAGAATCTTTGCCTTCTGGATGAATGTTAAAGTCAGGTTTGTTACACAAGTCTGTGCAGCAGGAAGAAGAGCATTTTAGATAACCTTGTGTGAGACCATAGATCACTGCAGTGTGAAATCATGAGTTGGCTTCTCACTTCACAGGACTCACTGTAAAGTGATATGCAGTGTAACTTTGAAGCATTTGTTGTAGATGATGCAAGTAAGCTCAGAAGTGTCTTTGGCATTTAGATACTGAGTAACAGAAACACATAATTTCACTTTTTAAAATTACGCTCAGTATATTGGATATAGGTTTTTTATTCTAAGCTTCATACTAATAGCCAGAAGCCTCCAAAGCCACATTTCTGTCACTGTGAGCATCACTGAGCCTGCAGCGGCAGGTGGGGTGCCCTTCAGGCTTCCAGTCAGTGAGGCACTGCCCACTGGATGGAAGCAGGGCTACTCGGAAGCCCCTCCATGTTGCTGTCATCATTCCCAGCCTGGTAGACAACTGTTGATACTTCCCCTTGAAGAGTCCCAGTCAGTCCCCAGTCAGAGTTCCACATAGAATCCCTTCTCTCTTATAGTCTTAATCCTTAGGACAGGGAACACGGATTTACCTCAAACACTGCTGCTTTAATAGCGAGAAAAGCGCTCTTCTCCAATACCTTTTCCTGACACTGACAGGAATGTGAAGAGAGCTGAGCATACAAATGTGTCTTCTTGGTCTGCAGTGTCTGCGTTTTCAAACTGACAAGAAGGTGGCCGACTTTGCAGGGTTAAAGCCTAAGCTCCCTGTGCCATGAGTGACCATGATGGTCCATGCCCTCTCTCTCCAAGTGCACGCACAGCCACTTAACCTCTCATTTCTTAAACTGCCATCTGAAGCTTCTGAAAATTTGTATAATTTCTAGTTAGCTAATTTCCTTTTCTAAAATAAGTTGTTACAAAATAGTATATTTGGACTTTTATGTGCTATTTCTACTTTAATTAAAATTATTTGATAATGTCTGTGGATTTAACAGAAGTTAAAATTCATTGGCTAGAAAATAAGTACTATTTTCCATTCATACAAATGACACTATTGTCACTACAGCTTTTATAATACTTGATTTGAAACCGACCCTGACTGCCTTAAAACAATACAGCATTTCTTGCCATTGAAAGTGTAATTCTACTTTTTTTCATTAAGTTGCTTTTTCATTATTACAAGTGTTTCTAAATTTGTTTTGGATTAATATTTCTCTGCAATTTTCTTCACTCACTGCTTCAGTTCCTTTTTATAACTTTTATGAACATACAAGTTAAAAAAGATTAGGTACAATTGATAATAATGCTGTCTTAAAATAGAAAATGTGCCTATTTTGTATGACAAAAAAATTTACTAAACTATAGGATCTTATTGTCGAATACTTGTTACATAATGATAATAGTGCCAAGAGTTTATTTTGCATAGTATGAAAATCAACTATATCAGCCTTAAATCTGGCTCACAGTAAAGTTCTTTTTTTTTTTTTTCTGTAAGCAAAGATGACTCTGTGGTGACGTGAAATATCAGTGTCACTTCGTGCAGTTACTAAGGGAATCATCACCCTTTTCCCGAGGCTCATGGATACAGGCAAAGGGCAGATGGTGTTGAATTTAAAGCTATACAGTGTCTTACTGTTTATGATGGGAATTAGTTTTAAAACCCAAAATTCCTGACCTCCTGCTCTCCAACCTCTGAGTTCTGTTTGGGTTTGACAAGAGAGATTTCATCCTGGGATCAGCAATTTTTAGAGTGATGAACTTTTTGAGCTGCTTGCTGTGTACCTGTGAAGGTGATCATACAGGACTGCAAAAACCTATCATTCCATTAGGATGAGGAACTACAGCCTTTATTGCTTTTGCATACGGAACCAGCTCTGCCATTCTCTCCTGGCTGCTTTCCTTTGTCTGAGTCCCGCATAATGAGAGAACATGGAACCAGAGTCAGTACTTAGCGACGTGACCACGAGGGGGCAGTATCGCCCAGCTGGTGCTGAAGCTCTATGTGGAGGGTTCATTTCAGGGATTCAAAGAGAGCAGAAGCACAGCCTTTTCTTTACTGGCTGAAGACCGTGCCAAAAACCCAGTAGGGTTATCAGAGTGAAAGAAAGGGACACCTTGATACAGGCAGTAGCTCTCTGGCCAGAGACTGCAAGTCTTCTGTTGATCCAACTGGGAAGAACCATGAGGGCGCCGGCTCATGCTCTGCTCACGTTCCTGTGGTTGCAGCTGGACTGTAAGTTGAGGATTCGGGGCCGAAAGACACTGTATATTAACAGGTGCTCTGTAGACGTCCAGAGAGAAGACTGGCTTTACTAAGGTTCTTTACAACACTGTAGAAAAAGTCAGCTGTGGAGAGTGATCTGAGACCTTCTCTGCTTTCCTTTCCTCTGTGCAGGGGGCCGAGCAGAGCAGCTGGAGCAGCTTCCCCGCACCCTGCGAGTGCAGGAGGGAGACACCTCTGTCATCAGCTGTACTTACTCGGACAGTGGCTCGTCCTACTTCCCTTGGTACAAACAAGAAGCTGGGAAGGGGCCCCAGCTCATTATTGACATTCGTTCAAATGCAGTGAGCGTGCAAAAGCGAAGACTGCTGGTTTCTTTCAGCAAGGCAGCTAAGCAGGTCTCCCTGCACATCACAGACATCCAGCTTGGAGACGCAGCCGTGTACTTCTGTGCAGCCAGTGCACACTGCTTGGCAGGCACCTGCAGTCTGTGCGAAAACCTGCCTCTGGGCTGGGCCCTCTGCTGGTCTTAGCACAGACTTTTCAGTATTTGCTGTGTTGGTTTTTAAGTGACAACTTCTGCAGAGATACTTGAAGCATATAAATGGATAGTTAGGTTCAAGATGACTTGGGAAGTCTCAGCTTCAGAACATCTTGTTGGTACTAAATACTGATGCTTAACAGATAGTTTTTCTGAGTTATATTTTATTGTTTTTATTTAAGACGTACCAACGTGATGTTCTGATACCCATGTACAAGGTGGAAATAAGATTTTTAGGAATTCTAATGATAAAGTAAATTCTGATAGGTAGTTATTTATGTTTTGTGTTGATTTGCAGGCTTTAAAGATGTTTGTTATTGAGAATCTTCTCATATAGTAATGGATTAGTATCAGAAGCTCTGCCATGGAAAAACTTTAGAGTACTTAGAAAACTGAATTCATTATTTTTAGTATAAAACATTACATGTTAAATATAGAAAACTAGTACCTTGGTAGAGGGTTCTATGTTTGAGTGTTGAATTTTAATACAGTGTGTGGATTCATATAACCATTTTGAAATCATGACACAAACAGTTCCATCCCATAAAATCTCTTGCCCTGTCCTCTGGCAGTCACACTGTCTGCATCTGTGGTAGTCAGCTCTCCATGGCTGGCAGAACACCTGTCTTAGATCCACCTAAAGTGGCAAAATCTATTCTGGCTCAGTTTCAGAGACTGCAGTCTGTGTGTGGCTGCCTGTACTGCGTTAGACCTGTGTCAAGGCAGAGACATGGCAGAAGGGCAGAGCAGGAGACAGCTGCTCATGTCACGATGGCTAAGGGCAGAGAGAAAGGGAAAGAGCAGAGAGGGAAGGGGGAGGGAGCAGATGTAGTCTCCAGTGTCTCACCCCATAGCCCAGTGCTTCCATCTGGGTGTCATATCCTGTTTGTATTACCTACCAGTAATGCCATTTAATTATGACCTCATCTGTGGACTAACCCACTGGTGATCTGTGAACACCCGTGGTAAAAACACTTTCCAGAACTCCATCAGCAAGCAAGGCTTCAGTACAGTGAGCCTTTTGGGAGACATTTTGGATTCCAAGCACAATACCATGATTAACTCCTTACAAACCTTAGTATGTTGTTCTTCTCAGGATGTCTGGAGCCACACAAAAGGTAAGCATTTGAGAAGGCTGAATGTTGAGTAGAGGAAGCACATGGCACTGGGTGATCCTAGTCTCTACCATCACCTCAGCTTCTTACATCTGAATGCTTTACACTTTTAAATAATTTTATGAAAGTAGTTTATCATTATAAGTTAATATCTTTAATTATTTGCATTGTAATTCTAAAATACCAAAATAAACAAAGCACAAAAAGCCACTTATGGGTAATTAATGATGGGAAGGCTATATAGATGGTTATACCAACAGATACAATTGATAAAATTTTCAGCATTGCTAAAAAGATAGTAATATGAAGTAGAAGTGTCCTTTGTTTTAAGAATGCAGAGAGAATCCAGGATTGAGAGAACTGTGGGGGACCGGCAGCATCTGAAGAGATAAGAAGTATGGAATATAAATGACCTTTATTTTGAGAATGCAGGGAGAGACACCCCCAACACTCTGGGGCGCGGGATCCCCCCACCCTGCTGCTTCTCGGGTCAGAGATCTCTCCATGGAACACATGGAGTTGGGGCATATAAGTAGCCTAGGTTTGGGGTGGAACCTAAGGGGCATTAGTGATTCACAGGTAGCCCATTGGTATTCTTTTGGAGCCAGAGGTAAATTCCTAGGCGTGGGGAAGATGGAGCTGTTTGGTTCTGCCTGAGGCTTTACCAGCTACAGTGTCCTGTCTGGGCCAAAACTCTTTCAAGGACCACTGAGGTCTGGATTTTCTCTCTGCTGGACAAGTCCTATAGGGACATACACATAGCTTAGGTTTGGGGTGATACCTAAGGGGCATTACTTATACACAAGTAACCCATTGGAATTCATTTTGTGACACAGGTAAATTGCCGAGGGGCAAGAAGATGACCTCAAGATAGAGCCCCTTGGTTCTGCCTCCCAGCCTCCTTCTGCTGCTGTATCCCCTTCAGGGTAAAATCCTTTCTTGCATCATATTCTGTATATAAGCTTAATTGTACCATCTTTCTTCTAAAGTTTTATCATTAGGTAGTTTCTAACATTTTCAGACTCATTTTATCAGTCAGAATTCACTTTAGCCATACTAACTGGGGATGATTTGGTCCGATTTTCCCAAAGGCATTGAAGGATGTATTCAATAACAGGACGTAATTCAATATTGTATTCAGGGTTTGTTGCACTAATTCCCTAGAAGAGCTGAATTGTAACATTACTGTAGTTCTCATCTTAAGCCTTTTCCTAAGCTAGTCATGTTATCAGTAAGACAGCAAACTAGGTAGAGTAGAAACACACAGCATTCTACCATTAGTATGAGAAAATACTCTTGTAATCCCCAAATGAGCCCCCAAACTCGAGTTTAAAAAATGAGGCAAAAACATATTTAAAATGCAGCGCTAATTTATTTTATCTTGGGCCCAGCAACACAGTGCAGTAGGAGATTGCAAAAGCTGTGTGTGTCCTTTCTCTACACTTGCCCCCTGCCCACTACCTATCACAGCTCACAAAGTAAAGGTCATGGGCATGAATCAGGAAATGAGAAAATCCTTGATCCACTAAGGAACGAGGAAGACCTTTGTTTCCCTTAGAAGAGGACAGAGAAGTCTTGCAGGAATTTACGATTCTTTATAGAGGAGAGCATTGATTAACATATCAATTAGGTCACCCAGAGGGACAAGGGAGAAGGGAGAAGGGGGAAGGGAAACATATATACAGTAAGGCCACTTCACAGGTATTTTGGTGTAATACAAATATAACAAAGCTCTTTTTTTTAGTGTACAACAAATACCACCCCAGGGATGACAAATGAGGGCTGCACAGAGTGTGACCATCAGTGGTTCCATCATCAAGGGTGAGCTGACCACTGAGGATGCACAGTCTACTTCATGCAGGAACACGTGGTTTCAAGGATCCTGGATCAGCACTCATTTTCTGTGGACTGTCCTGCTCATGACAACTCTGTGTTAGGATATTCAATATGACTGATTTTTAAATTCTCATTTAAAGATGAATGAGAGTAATTGGTAAAATGCAGCCGAGGATCAGTTCTTTGTACTTTGTTTGCTGAACTGGCAGTAAATAGTATCAGTGAGGTTAAAGGATTATAGGCAACTTTCTATGGAACTGTGCTCAGAACCACGCCATCAGAATACTTATGGTTTGGAAGTTACATGGTTTTACTGGTGACCAGATGCTAGGCAAATAACATATAACTGTGAGATGGAAGGACCTATGAAAGATAAAGAAAAAATACATTAGGGAGGCCTTGAAGGTTCAACAATGTCCTGATACAGTAATTCCACTTTTAATATTTCATTTGTTTTTTCCAAATCATCTGAGGACAGGGAGGAGAAAAGGTAAAGGTTCAGGGTGAACCTGAAAAAACCTGAGAAGAGAAGAGAGGCTTTATTACAGTACAGAGGCTCTGAGGGCTCTATCTAAACTCTAGCAAAGACAGCTTAGTGGTTTTTGTTCCTTTTCCAAAATAGGCTACAGAACAGATACACACGAGAAATAAGGAGAAGTGTTGTTAAATCCATAGGCAGGTGAAAAGAGGTCCTGTAATTATTATAAACATCTTTGTCTTCTATTCATAAAGTGATTGATTCATATCTTATAAAAGCAGCATACATGTGAGGATACATGATTACTACCTCTTACATTGTCTCCATAATTCATTGCATAGTGTTTTTAAATAAACATCAAACTCCATCAAAGTTCTATCACAGATGCAATGACACTGAGTGACTGTAGCAATGGGTCAAATCAGTTTTCCTTTCTTTACATCTGTGTTTACTTTTGATTTAAGTATTTGAATTAAGAGTTGGAAGCTCAGAAGGAAGTGTGACTTGCATAAGGTGTCAGACAGGACACAGAGCAGGGTTACATTGCTCACGCCCACCTCCTGCACCAGGAAACCTCTGTTTCCTGCTCTAGCACAGCAGTAGCAGCAGCAGAACAGAGCCCAGCAATTCCTCCCTGCCCAATTCTTCCCACCTGGTGTGGAGATGAGAGCAGGGAGTCAGTATCTCAGACAGGATGCTGCCAGGGTCTGGCAACTGTTGTAACAGGAGGCCACACTCACTGTGAGAAGGCCCGCCTTAAGGTTTGGTAATGCATGGCTCTTACAAAGACATTTGGAGGCTCTTCCCTACAGAGACACAAACCCCTCTATTTGTACAAAATAAGACATTTTTCCCCTAATCACCATCTTTTCAAACAGTTAAATTCCCACTTTAGCAATGTTTCCACATATTATATTTAGTTTTATAAATTCATTTGTTTCATTGATTACTAATCTTAGTGGTTTTATAGTAAAGGCTATTGGCTGTTAGAGGAAGTCACTTTTCATCAATACTCTTTTCCAAGAATTTCTTCATACTTCATGAATTTTCATTTTTAACAAACTTTAAAGATTCAGTCCCATTTTCCTTCTATTTAATAACCCTATGTTAAATAAAACAACAAATTATTGTCTCCCCGGTGTCAGAAGCCAAAAAAGTAAATAAGATCCAACATATACAATAGATAGTGTGAAATGGGAAGAAACTCTTCAAAACAAAACAGAAACTGGGATGGAGGAAAGCAAAAAAGAATAAAGGGAAAAGAAAAAAAATGTATATCTATCTCTATCTATCTATCTGTCTATCTATGTATACATATCTTCATACTGGTTAAGAGTAATTGCTCCTAGTTCATTGAAAAGAAAAGTTTGAGAAAAGAAAAGTTTATATTGTTTCCCTTTCATTTTTTTGTTTCTTTTAATCTTTTTGGAACTGAGCATTGAACTACCGAACACAGAATCTCACATTTGTCAGGCAGATGTCATGCCACCAAGCTGTATCCCCAGCCTGTGCCTTTATTATATGACCAACTTTTCATGCCTATATCTTGTAATATGAGCAACTACTTTGAAGATAACC